TGGCAGCAGAGTGCTTGATCAGCACAGCTTGTGCAGCAGTGTTAGGACCCAGCTCACAGCTATGTGGACAGAGCAGCAGCGCCTTCATGAAAGGATAGCCTGTGTCTTACCATTTAGCTGTGGGAAAGGTTGAGGTCTCTCTGTCCGTCATTTTTGGGCGAGTGGAATGCTAAGATACTTCACCACCACCCCCAGCCTCACCTGCCTCCTCCCCTTCCCACCCCCTTAGCTAAAGGGCAAAAGCTGCAGGGAGCACTGGAGTCCAGTTTGTTCTTTCATGCGTTTTCCCTGTTCTCTCAGCTGGGAGTATAATATTTGCTTTCTTATGCAGAAGATATGTCAAGAGTGCTCTTATATTCTTCTGAGATTGTTCCTTGTCCTATAGCATTCTGAGTAATTTTCTGCATGTAGGTTCTTAAATCTAAATTCATTCTGTCCCCTGGTTATCGCATAACTGTTTTATCCACTAGAAGTGGATTTACAATCTGTTGAGTGACTCAGAGCACTGAAAAGTGATTTCAGAAGAGCTGCTGCAGCAATTGGCCCACAGATGGGAATAGGCTGGTGAGACTGCCATGGGTGAGCTAACTGTGAGGATGGCAAATCACAGAACATGACTCCTATGAAGGAGAAATTCAAGTGCTCAGTGTGTGATCTGAGTGCAGGAACTGCTCAGAAGCACGAGGCACCTGGGTCACAGAGGCAGACGGATCCTGAAGGAAGGAGGAGAAACGTGTTCAGGGACAAGGCCTGGAGTTTAGGTGGCATGTCTGGTAGTGGTACCTGTTTGGCTTTAGGGTCTCTGTCAAAACCTAGCACCCTTTAAGGCTCTGGAGGAGCAAAGTGCAGCACAAACTAGCAGCTTTCTTTAAAAAGTTGTGTTCATGCACAAACCACTGGGCATTTAATAACACTGTAGTAGTTACGACTGTTCATACACCTTAACAAGGACAGTGGTGGGGAATGGGAGGCTGTGGAAGCTGTAGATGCTATACGAGGAGTGTGTCTGATTGAAAGGCAGGTTGGGGCTAGAGGGGCAAAACAGCAACTGTTGTAGAAATGTGCTGCTTCATTTAACTGCAATGAAAGAAGAGCTGGGCAGTGCACTGCAAGGGGCATCCCCAAACACTGCTGCTGTCAACTTCCTGCATCAGAAGTGCTCATTCCTGAGCCATGTTTTCTGGAAGGTAGAGTCAAAGGGAAGCAAAGGTGATGGTGAAGCTGTCATGACTTATGGGTGTGGGAGAGAACATGTTATTACCCTGTTTCTTAAACATTATTTAGGAATGAAAAAAGCTCAGTCATAGAACACAAAGCTTTAAACAAGAAACGCAAACTGGAATAGTAGCAGATACTATAATTAAAATAGTCATCTTAGATTTAAAAATGGAAAGAAACAAATATGCATGTGTTCAAAATGAAGCAAAAGGAGAGGGGGAAATGAAGAATTTGTGTATTATGTGTGTATTAACCCAGAAGAGGCCTTATATTTCTAAGATTGTTTTCTTTTTTCAAGAGTGATTTCTTAGTGTGATTTCTATTGGCATTGAATTAACTAAGGGAGAACTTAACATATCAGTAAAGATAGAGGTCAGGTTAAATTTGAGGAAAAATACTAGTGTAATAACATGCAAAAAGTTGAGGATAAATATCAAGTTTTCTATTAAGAGATCTGGTTATCAGTGCAGTGAAGAGCACCACACAGCTGAATATGCTTATTGCTGTTCTGGTAGCTTGAATTGTCTTTGGCTTAGTCTGTCCCTGGAAGTTTCTTGAGTTACCTTTTTTCTTGCATGCTCTAAAGTAAAATTACCCTTTCATGACAACTAAAATGGAATCCAATTATCTAAAGCAATTCCAAGAAAACAAAAAGTACACAGATATTAAGATGCCTATCTAAAGTCTCTCAAACATGCAAGATGAAGTGTAATGCTTTTTGGTGTGATGCAATACTTTTCTTTCTAGTAAGATGACAAACCCCACCACATTTGTTACTCCCACACAGTTGGAGTTGTTGATAATCAGATATTTTAGCTCCTTCAAATACTCTACATAACCAGTATTTGGCAGTGGTGGAGGTAGTTGCTTTTCCCTGAAAAGCCGACTGATCATGGGGCCAGATAGTGACAGAGCTGCTGGGGCAGTATGAATCTGGTTGATGGCAGCTGCTGGTGGTACCCAGGCCCTCGCTTACCATGACAAAGGTTGCTTGGCTGTGGAGCAGGTACAGCTGCCCACACAGCAGCCCTTGCATCAGGGAGTACGGGGGCCCGGGCAGAGCCTGCCTGCCCACAACCCCAGGCAGGGACCGGGAACAGAGAGCTCAGAGGGTGATAGGGACTGCAGAGGTGGCACTGAGTCCTGGGCTCAGGGACCCTTGGGGCTGGTGTGTTGGTGCTTCTGTGTTCTGTCTCCCTGCTTTATAGCAGAAGACCAGAAACAAGCCTTGGACTGCTCCTTCCCAGCACAAGGGCAGCACAATGAAATGATGCTCAGCCAGCTGAGTGTCTGAGAAAGTCATTTTAATACATTACAGCTTTCTAAAGTGTGGAGTCTGTGAGATTAGCGGGAAGCAAATGGATTCAAACATGTATTTGTCCAATTTTAACTTGTAACTTTTCTGTGCTTGGGCCTGGGAAGGTTGACACTTGGCATAGACTGTCAAAGTGGTGCTCATGTAACGTATTCTTTTTAGACTGATGGAGTATGTGGAGTAAGAAAGAATTACATTAATCTTGTTAATGTTTTTTTTTTTTCTTGTGCTTATAAAGTAAGGGAATACATCACATTTCACAGCATTTATGAAATTTAGAGAAAGCAGCTAGAAGCTAGCTTATGTCTACCAAAATTTTTCAGATAAACTGCAGTTTTGTCTGATTTAACTTACTAGTTAGGCCATACCAGTTTAATAGAGTTGCAAGTCTTTGCAGAAGCCATCTTCTCACTGATCTATCGTACTTTTAAAATACATAGAACAGTTAATGTTATCACTACCACCACTTGCAAAACAGTTAGCACTTTAAAAATATTTATATTCAGTAAATACAAATGCTTGAAAGCTCTGTGGCACCGATTTCAAAAGTATAAACAACATAAGACTATTTAAATTATATATCACGTGTTTATTACGGGTGCAAAATTCTTTAAATTTACATTTTATGAAAAATCAGAAGTATTTACAATTTTGTAAGATAAACTTGTATGTTCTAATTTACAGTCTGACATAGTAACAATCCATAAAAATTCAGATGCTTTAGAATTGTGTTTACAAATTAGTTTCCTTAAGAGGAGGCAGCTACAAAGGATACTGCTGTATACACAAGCAAGAACCAGCTTGCTACATACATTTTTTTCCATCAGATAGCTATATCTACTTTTTACATTGTTTTTGAATTTCTTTACAAAAAGTTTATATAAACTTGTATGGCTTCAAAATTGTAACCTGCACCTAATGCAAATGTATGTTTAATCACCTGAATGAAGGCTAGTTTAATAGTGCTGAAACATAACTACTTTAACATAGAAATGGAAGTAATATTTGATTAGAAACAATATTATGATTTTGGGTTTTCAGTAATAAAATGTTGCCATGTTAAACGGTTTGATTGCCAAGCAGATTACAATTAAGACTCCAGTAAAGACTGTACCATTTTATATGAGTTAGAAATGTTATTTTTCACCATTCAAAAAGGTTAACAAATTACAGGCTGTACATCCTCCCAATTAGCTCTACTTTTCAGCAGGTGCTAGTGCTAGCAGCGGAAATCTCATCTGCTCAAGTGTATAGTATACATTAGAATTCACAGAGCCTCTACAAAGCTTCTTATTTTTCTTTTTCTTGTAAAGCTTCAACAGCCCCATTCATTACTGTTTTGTATGAATTAGTTCAAGCAAGTTTTGCTGTTTTAGAATATTTGAAATAGATGCTGGTACTCAGAATGGTGATACAAAATTCCCATTTACAGGTTATTAAATTGTTTTGCCCCAATACTTTTGATTTCTGTACTGAGAAAACAATAGTAGTATAAGATTTTTCTAATTTACTGACTTGCTTTAAAAAAGTTACCTTTGTGTCACTTCCTTGTGCTTAGGTTGTGGAAAGGAGATAGATGACAATGCAAATAATAAAATTGCTGATTATAGATAAAATGTAAATTAATATAAATGCAGTACTTGTCATCCTGCTGCCAAAAATACTTTAAAATGTTATTCCTCCTGACTACATTTACATTCACATCACACAACCCCAAAAGCACTTAAGATCCAAAGACTTACAGTCAAAGTGAAGGGAAATGCTGTTTGCCTTTACAAGTTAGACTTTACTATTCTGTAATTTTTTTCCTGTGATTCTCATCTTTGGTGACATTAAAGTAACTATACTGAAATTTTAAAGTCTTGTTTGAGGCATCTCCCTTTACTATGACTGCATTTATTGCTGTTACCCCATAAGGAAGTAATTCAGTTGTTTAAACCTCTTATGGAACAAACTACAGTTATCATAAATTTCCCTTCTAAATCCCACTCAAAGGAATTTTTATAGAAGTTGTATGTATTAAACACCATGCTTTCTTTAGGGAATAGCCAAACTTTGAAAAAGGAAGTGAGGCACATGAATAACCAATTGGATAGGCACTTTTTTTTTTCCCTAAAGGCACAAATGTTATGCAATTCATATAAAAATAAATCTACAGCATTAATTCAAACAATCACAATGCCCATAAAGTTACTAACTGCAGAAGTAAATCTCTTCTGTCTTTTGCCATTTTGTAACACATTGCACTTACGGAGAAAAAAAACAAACTATGTAAAACAACTTACATGTTATTAATATATGATACGTGGGCATCATGTTACTTTTTTTTTTAATACACATCTCTAACTCAACCAGTTTTATGGCACATTGAATTGATAGAAGAATTTTGTGAGACTTTTTTTTCTTATTTAAACATCAGCAATTAAAGAATCTGAAAAATGAGTATTACTTATGGAAAGCTCTTGCTCTTCTACATTTTTAGGTTTAGTGTTTACAGTATAACATACAATTTCATACTTTGATTAGAACTAATGATTACTATTTTGATTTCATCTATATATAAATTTACTAAAATTTTAACATTTTTTTCCAAATATTGCAGTTGATCATTTACAGACAGTGTTGAAATTCACTTCAGTGCTATTATAATAAAAAGTTTGCAAAATGACTTTTAAAAGTGCATTTTCTGTTCTGTAGTCAGCCTTAAAGTAAGTAAAAATTAAAAAAAAATGCATGTTAAAATAGTGTTTGAAAAGTAGAGAGGGTAGAGTGAGCTACTTGTTCTCCTTTGATCCATTCACCTTCACAGGTTCATCAGCAGTCTGCCATATATCGTCCTGAAAAATAAAGGTTGCTTTTTTACAGTCAATAGATAAACCAGATTGTCAGTATTTTCCTGGGATCAGCTTCATTAGCTAACATGTGAAACAGTTTTCAGCCATATTTTAAGGAAGAGTAGCTATTTAATTATCACTTATTTTACACTTTCATGTTTTATAGTCTAGTGCTACAGGATGAATGATATGAGTTTGAGCACATGAGGTGCCTGTCTTACCAGTGGCAAATCTCTTCTTGAGCAGGGAGAGATGGTAGCCGGTGCCTGCAAGCTCCACGTCCACCCCAGACAGGGTGCTCCCCTCACTCAGGAACTGCAGGGCCAGGGTGGCGGGCTTACTGGGGCCTTCGGAGAGCTCAAATTTGGCCCTGAGGGATCCAGAACCTGTAACAAAAACACAGCTGAAAGGCTTGTTGTTTTGCAAGACTCTCTCCCAAAGTTTAAGGGGTAAGTAGTAAAATTGACAGAGTATCTTTAATATCTGCTGCTGTAGGCTGACCTACATAGATTGCTGTAAGAGAGGAGAGCTTTTATTTTATTTATTTATTTTTTCCCCTCTCCTGCTACTCTGCCTAAGACAAGGACTTAGGAAGGATTTAGTGCAAAGCACACATTTCTACAAGGTTATACTTGGAGAAGAATAGGTACAACAGACAATCAAGTAATGTCTGATTTTATTACATGGAATTCCTGACTGGTCCCTATTATTATTGTTTATGCTTGCTAGTCTGTAAGTGTTTAAGGCCACGTATGGCTTAGGTTGTACTTTTTATTAGGGAAGCTGGAAGCACACCAGTATTTAAATATTGTACTCTGTCTGGATGAACCTACATGAACAAAACCAACTCCACTGGAAGAGATGCATCTAAAAGTAATGCACCTCATCGGAAAAAAAAATGTATATTTATTTTTCTGATAAAGACAAGCCTCAATAAATACATGTTTCTAAAACCTTCAATTGATCTTTTATAAACCACCAAAGTTGACTTCATCACCATCGTTAAGCAGCATTCAAAGCTAAATACACTTCTGTAGTTAAATAAAGGCAAATCTGAAATTTTTAAAAAATGTCACTGCTCCCTCTTTCTGTTCTAAACAGATGTTTTGTTCTTGCACTATAAGATGTAAAAAAAAAAAAAATACAAGGTTTAAATAATTAGTAATGGAATAGTGAAAAACAAGTATTTGTACTTCCTAAAAACAACTTGCTATTACCAGCTGAAAGGAACTATTAAATGACTAGAAAAATTAGTAACTAAAATGTTATTGGACAAAATGCAGAAAATCATGGATTAAGTGCTTTATGCAATACCTTGGTCTTGCTAAATTTGTCTTGAAATCAGTTTTCATTTTGTTTAGGAAGTAGTGCACAGTCAAAGAGCCCTCATCTAAAGCTAAGCCTGTTGCAGCACAAAGTTTGTGAAGCTTTTTTTTTTTTTTTTTTTTTTTAAAGCAGTTGTTCTCCCCCTCTACTTTATTTCAGCTGTCAGACTGTGAAAAAAAACAGGTATTAAATGTATTTTTTTTCTCTGAATAACTGCTTATTTCTATTTGGCGTTATATGTAATAATTTCCTTAACTGGTCTAAGTCCTATTTTACAACTAATAATGGCTTTCAAGTAGTTTTAACATTTCTCCTTTTATAATTAATAAATTGTGTTTTTTTGATGTCTCTCTGTGAATGGAATCTTCTGGGAAGAATTTCATTGAGAAGATGGTGAGGTGGCAAAGAGGAACCAGCAGGGGAAGAAGTGGCAGCGGGCACAGAAGTGGCAGCTAAAATGATGACATTTTTACTGTTAATATTTTCCTGTGCAAGAAAGGACAAGGAATGAAACTTGCCTCCATTCTCGGACTTCTCTGAAATGCTGGATATTTTCCAGTAAGCTTTCATCTGGTCTGCATTCCTGTAAGGGAAAGCTAGGTTAGTTACAAGGGCCGCTTTATTAATTTCCTAGATTTGCACCAATACCTTACAGACCACATATACACAAGTTACACTCCCTAAATGGAGGTTTATACAAAATACTTTATCATGTTAACTTCTTAATATCTTTTAATCAATTTTGAAAGCAATTTTAAGAAGTCTGTGGAACACTAGCCACAGCAAGGAGGAGCCCTACGGGTCTGTGTGCAGCACAGCGCTGTGTCCTTGCTGCCCCTACCCTGTTGACACCGGCCCCAGGCCTGGCTAGGGGAGGTGGCAGCACCTGGGGGCGGGTGTAGGCTGCATCTTCCAGAGGGGGCACAGGCCGCTGCTGCCACCCACATGACGCTCCCACTCGAAGTGGCCTGTGCGCTTTGAAGGTGGTGGACGGGCAGTGAGCAGGGTGCTCAAAGCCCCTGCCAGCGCTACCGGCCTCACGGAGAGCTCTTCAGTTACCAGGCTTCTTACAAAACAAGTTCAGTTAGAAGCCAGTATTCAGGTTAAAATGATCAAGAAGTGTTTCTAGGAACTGCATTTCTTCTGCTTTTTCTGACAATCCATACATATACAGATGTTTTTAACTGTTAACAAATTTTGATTTCAAATCATGTTATTAAAAATATCTATCATGTCTATTAGACCAAAGACGACAAACCTTGAAAAACATCGTAAGGGCTTGTATTATTATACAGGTTGAAACAGGTGCATACAGACTTAGTTTATATGAATTGACTGTATGTGATCTGTTTTGGACCAAAACAATGTCTCAAACATCAGATACTATGTATTTTAGCAGGAGAAAAAAATATTAGCTCTTTCTTCTAGTGAGATTTTTTTCAGGCTCTCTACAACCATAATAAAGTAATAAAAATGAAAGCATTGCTAATACCATTTTGCAGGTGGCAGTGACTGCATGTTTGTTACTCCGCCATCTACAGGCACCACAACCTGCACATTAACCAGCACGCTGGGCACAGTCATGGACTGAGGGTTGTATTTGTAATCCACTCTCACGTCAGTAGTGCTAGCGTCGCATTTCCAGTAAGTTGCAAGATTCAATGGAGTGGACTGGATGCCATTTGAAGATACCTGTAAAAGAATAAACCATTAAAAGCAACTTCTTAATTAAAACTCTCTGTACTTCTGGGCGAAATTATGGTAACAAGCATAATGCTAAACACGGACACAAGATGAGGAGACCAACTGGCTTCTGAGCCATTTATTCCAGAATTCTAAAAATTGCTGTAGGCTAAAATGATGCCTACTTTTCTTTTTTTTTTTTTCTTTTTAGTTTTATATTAATTAAAATTAAAAAAATTACCATCCCTCTGGTGCACGGGACCTTTTCCTGTCCTGGCTTGCCTACATAAAGCTTAAAAAATAAATATTTACCTGATATTTTAAAACATCCACATTATAATAGGATGCAGATGGATTCTGCTGTGATAATTTCTTGAGGTAGACAGTTATAGCTTGCATGTTCATCCAGAAATCCTTAGTACTGGAGTCACTTTGTGATTGATCACTGCAGAGAAAAAGACAGGAGTCAGACTGCAACATTGAATTTAATTAATTTAGATGCCTAAGATTAATCTTAGATCTTTTCCAGTTCTTCACTATTTCAAACAAGACTTTGTTCTAACGATCTGCAACACACAACTGTACCTGCCTAAATATTCAGGCACATTAACAGCTTATTGTGTCTGATGATAGAAGTTTCCTTCCAGGTCACAGAGCAGTCACCTTCCTCCAGTGATGAGCTGCATCACCCAATACAGTTAGTTAATGCTGCGTTTGGATTTGCATTCAATAAAACAAATTTTAATCGAAACAGGTGTTGTGAGGATGTGTGGGAGGGGAGGATGAAAGGAGCCTTTCAAAAGGACTATTATCCAATTTGGAGTAAGCTGTAAAATCATTATCTGTTTTGATTATGGGATAACATTAATTAAGATTGGTGCTGTATGCATTTCCATACCTTTACATATTTGTAAAGTCTAGACTTCCTTCTTTTTTCTATTTTGCTTTTCAACTGAAAGTTATTTTCAACTTATTATGAACGACTCTATCAAATTAGGGATAGCTGCATTCCAAGTTAGTTACATTTTTTCCTATGCATTTCCTGTATGTATTTAAGAATGCTCATGAAGAATCTTGGTTTTGAGCTTTACTAGTTGCACCATCAGACTTAGACAGGTGCAGCTTTTAAGAGCAGTGCTTCAGAAGCAAAGTGCAGCTTGCTGACCTGCAGCGCTCCATGAGCCTTGGGATGCGGGGAAGGCAGCTGGCCGGGCACCCAACATGGCACATCCTGCACCCGGAGCTGTGACCTGCCCTGAGCAGCTCGACTCTCACTGCCCTGCTGGGCTTCATCCGAGCTCCAGTTGTAGTAAAATACACAGACGAACACTTAAAGTTATTGCTAAGGGGGGAGGGGATTCCACAACTTAAAACAACGAAACCATCAGTAAAATCTTCCTGTTGCTCCTCATCCAAGTTCAGTCCAAAACAGAAATTCTGTCATCTCCACATGTATCACTCCCATTAAAACTTGCCATCTCCACGAATGCCAAACACATGATACAGCCTTTGCAGTATTTGATGAAAAGTCAAATTATTACAGTATGGGTTTAACTACTTAAATATCCATTACATGCATCCTTCCTAATTAAAGGTGAAATATTACATTTTGACAAGAATACTAGACATTTTCACATTTTTCCACATTAAATTTTTCAGCATAATTCACACAGATAAGATTCTGCTAACATTCCAGTTAGTTATAAACTGTTATGTCAAAAAGTGATGAATAATTTTGCATGCTGAAACATTAAGTATGAATGATCAAAATGAAATAAAATGCAGAAGAACAGATGCATATGGCTCAGTTATTTCAGTATTTTAGAAATACAGCATCTGGAAGTTCTCCACTGAAAGTAATAGATCTGGCTCAGCTGATATTGATCACTGCTAATAATTACAACTTGGTTTTATTATTTTTTGAAAAGGTGTCCAAATGCCGCAGTTTAAACAACTACTCCACCAAATCTCTTTGCTTCTGAAGAATTCTGCAGCGCTTGCTGTGATACACTAGAGACACAATTACACAATGGGTCCCACCCACTGTAAAAATGATACAGTAGCTTAAAAAGAAATTCACCAGTAAGTGCCAAACAAGAATAGAACCAGCTCTTATTACTTGTCTTCCATTTAAGGCTGCTATTTCATCATTTAATCTTACTATCATTACTGCTGTATAAAGAAATCTGTAGGACAACATAAGAGCGTCTGAGTTTTGACATCTAGTTTTTCTCTGAATCTGTAATTAGTTATGCAGCTTGTTCCTATAGTTTAAACCATTTTTTCTTAACAAACAAGTTGTTTATAAAAGCATTTAATTTATGAAATGCATGTAAAAAACACTGCTACATTTGCAAACTACTATTTTATCTCTTGTTATAGTCAGTTGTAGTTTCAAGTCCAGTCATGACTGAGATTTTTAAAATTGGCAGAGAAACCGAGCTAAAATGATGCATGGAATCGGGCTAATGGTTACATCCAAGCAATTTCACAGGACTGCAGAGAATTCCAATTTAAGTACACAGCAATTCACATTTAACAGCTCATGTGGTTTACAATTATATAACAAAAAATACAAAACCTGTATACAAGTTGTGCATTTGGAAGAATCTGCTCCAGTTTGCTTGTGTTTTTTACCCTGAAGCACAGTACAGCTGGAGATGGGTTGCTGGTGAAAACTTTAATAATTCCACTTGGGAATGACACTGTCATATCACCAGTGATCTTCACAATACACCTAGAAGAGAACGAGGACATCAGTTTTATTGCAAGGCATTAACTGCCTATTTTTAATACTAATTTTAAGGCAAATCACTGCATTTCCAGAATCTGAGCTGAATTTAAAACACAAAATTTAACTTTAAATGAGGTAATATGGCACTGTGATAATGTACTATGACTTTCAACTTGGAAGTCAGATGAAACTGCACATGGAACAAGTTGGTTAAGCATACAGTAGTTTTGGTGGATGTTTTTCAGGGTTTGCAAACATGGCAGGCTATGCATAGCCCAGGCCTAATTTGCATAGCAGGGATGGGGGAGAGGGAATGAGGTGCTTTCAGAGACCTGAATTTACATACAACACCTACCTGAACTGCAATAAAATCCCTTCTCATTTTCACCAGCGGTTTATTTCTACGAATTCACTGTATTCTGGTACAGCAGGGGCATCCTAACTGCTATTGGCGTGAGCTGCTGCTATCACCTACACAACCAGGGAATCCCCCTTCTAATGTATGTATATACTCCCCCCAAGTCTATGAAGTATAAACAGTGTATTTTCTTATTGAAAGTTGTTACATTCAAAACAATTCACTATTTAACTAACTTTGTGGGGTCTGCTCCTTTAAAGTAGGCGTTAACAGATTCAGTGAGGGCTACTGCAACAGGCAGGGTGTCCTGGTTTCTGAGGCTGATGGGGCTGGGACCACACGAGATACCTGGAATACATACAGTTCACAGGTTTAATGTTTAAGAAGCTCAGCAGGAGATTCAGAATGGTTCACTGTCATTTTCAGAAGGTTTCTACCAGTACGGAGAGTCTGAAGCACTACTTGAAACGTGTAGAAAAACAGCAAGGCAGCACAGTACAGTCACAGCATGACAACACTGCTCAGTGGCCTGAGAAAACAGGACCATCAGCAAGACACTTGGGAAATGGACAGACACAAGGAAATACACAGGAGGTTGTCAACAGGTCCAAAGGAAATTAGATGTTAACTGTATTACTTACAAAAAAAAAATCCCTACTGTATGCTTATTGTATGGACAGACATGATAAAGTGGTCAGGGAAGTCCCAAGAACTTCATTATGGTATGGATGAACTTAAACACAAATACAGTAATATTGCTCCACCTAAGTGAAACACTGAGCATTCTCTAACTATTTCAGTCAACAACAAAGATTAAAATCCCCAAGCAGAAGTTGTTGGAAGAACATTTTACACAGTGTTCTGGTGTTTGCCTCACACCTCGCCGGGCCTGAAAGGAAACGAGGCCCGCAGTAGCCGTGAGAGCCGCCATGCAGAGGGAGCAGAGCTGCTGCTCGGAATCAGTCCTGACCACGTCTGGGCTTGGGGAAGGTCGTGTGGAGAGCTGACCAACCTGGCAAGTTGTGGTCCTTTTTCATCTTTTCAGTAGCAGAGCAGTGCAGGGGAGAGCATCATGTGGACGTCTTATACTGCTGCTGAACTGCCCCATGCCATGCCACATATTTATCCCAAAGTGGGGAGAATCTTTCCATGGGCAAAATTAGATATATTAATTTGTACCATCAAGGAGAAACAAAGTACAGTACTGCCAATGTCAAATTACTCCAAAATAGTGGCTGTGCCCTCTTCTAAGCTCTTTCAGAAGCACAGAGGAAGCCGAGACCTCATTTTTCAGTGTCTAATAGACCACATGCTTAAAGTCAAGGATAAGTGGTAGAAGTAACAAAATGAGGGATAAAAAAAGGAAGATGGTCTCATCTGCTACTACCATCCTTTACCTCCTTATTTCTTGCCTGAGGTAGTAAAATGTTTGAACATTTCTCAGCACCCTGAAATAACATTTAAGCCTTCTTAGATCCACTGGACTGCTCTAGCCACAAGCGTTCAAAATCAGAAAATCTGAGATGAAAAATATTGTAACGCTGGCTACAAAACGCTGACTTTTTATGAAGAGTAGCTCATTTTTGCATGTTCTTTCAGAGCACTCATGGGTCTTGCTTCCAAAGTCTCCCCTCTTCCTGGGAAACTGGCAATAAAAGCTGTCATTCTCAGTGATGTTAGAAATTCAAAAATCAGGATTTCAAAGAATGAAGATGTGATAAAATTGAGCTTTAATAACAATCAGACCTGCTCATTACATCTGTTTTGATAAGCAATGAGCTGCAGAAACGCTCTGCCCTGACGCCAGAGCAGTGCTGGGGCACCACAGGCCTCAGCACTTGGGTATCTTTCCCCCTCCTTTACCAAAGGGCAACAAACAACTGCGGAGCAGAAAGGAGGTGTCTTCAAACCTTTAGAAGTAACACAGTGCTTTTAAATCTTTTTTGCTTCTGACACTCTTGTAGATAAATTTATATCGTTATTTGAACAACATGCACAGTAACACAAATAGATAAATTATATAGCTATTTGTAGGACACAAATACCTATTTCTTGGCTGCCTGAAGAATAAACTTTCCCAGGAATAAGGCTGTTTGAACACGTGCGAGCGTTGCTCTGAGATGCATCCAGGGCATTGTCCCGACGAGGCAGCCTCTCTTACTTGCCCATGCCTTGCTGTGTCCCCTGCTCTTTATGCTCTAGAAAGACCCAAGTGCTCTAAAAACCAGCAGCTTGAAACAAACACAACTCTCTATGTTAAACTAACTGTGGAAGCCGTCGCTGTGCTGCTGCTGAGGACACAAGCACAGCTGTGCAGTGCAGCAACTTGCTGCTCCCGGTGCTCCTGGGCCATGCAGACGGATTCGCTCTGTCTTGGGCTCTGGCTGCAGAATCCAGACCCAGGATGTGTTGGCCATGCCAGCAAAGCCACTCCAACTCCCTCCCAATGCAGCCCTGGCCATGGGGGCAGCAGAACTGCAGAATAAAACCCTATCACTGGTCATATCAAAGGCAAATAAGGCAGCAAGAGTAATGGAATAAATCGGATCAAATGGTTTAAGTTCAGTTTAGGAGCAAAGATTCAGGTAGTTTTAATAATAGCAAAATTGTTGAGTAGTTGAAAATAAAAAACCAAAAATATTCATCTTCAATTCCGCTTTGTGTTAGATGTAAAGAAGTTTTTACCTACTTGTCTTGTGAGAACAAGGACCGTTACAGTAACCTCAATATATTCCTCTTTTCTTGAATGAAAGAAGTGATACAAAACTGAGAACTCGAGATCAAGTTTCACCTTGTGGTGGTAGATGGAGATTATATTGTGTAACATGGACTGGATCTACTTTTGATGATTAAAGCAACATATAACTTAAGTAGCTGAACTTTAAAGCTACTTATATCTGTCCCACACCAGAAACAGCTGGAATAACTTGTGTCAAAAGAAATACAGATTTATTGAGTGTAGTGCATTAGGATGATTAGTTAACATGCACGTCTGCTTCTGGTACCATACCTGGTGATGTCTCACAAAGCTTTTTGATTGTAGGAAGTGTTCCAATCAAAAGATCATCCTCTATTACATTTAAATGAAACAAAACATTGCAAGAAAACAAAATATTTCAAGCAATAATAGATGTTAAACCATTTCATAAATGAAAGTAATATACAAATGAAAATAAGAGTAAAGCATAAGGAGATGTTCTCAGAAATATAATTGTACAAGTCTACAAGACAATTATAGCCTTGCAAATAATATAATATTATATAATCTTGCAAACATGTATATATCAATACCTCTCTCTATATGTGTGGGTGTATATACACACACACACACACACACACACACACACACACACACACACAAGATAATTACAGTCACCTCATCATTATTCAGAACTAGTGGGGCAAGGGAAATATTGGAGCGTTACAAACAACTAACCAACCAGGTAGCACAGACAGGAGCGCAGAGCACGTCCTCACCCTCCCCAGCTTCCTGGGATTCTCTTGCAGCCGCCCTGCGTGGCGCTAGCCCCGTTATTGCCCTTTTCAGGCCTCTGTGGTGGTGCCTCCCACATCAAAGTCCCATCCTGCTTCTCCTCCCGTCTGCTCAGGACAGTGCCACTGGGGCTGCTGTGCATCTCTGCGGCGCTCAGTGCACACACACGTACATGTGTGCACACATAACATGCACATGTGTACATGCACACACACGTATGCACACATGCACACACACATGCATGGCTGCCCGTCCTGCACACACAGACACAGCTAGAACCAGCACTGCAGCTGCTGCTGCTGCTGCCCTGCTCCGCTCTGCAAACAGAGCCGAAAACACGGGGGACACACAAGGCCAGGAGCCTGGGGGGCAAGGGCCCCCTGCATGTAACTCACTGCCTGCTGAGCCTGACCCAGCTGGGGACTCGTGGTGCTAGGGACCGAGAACAGAGCACTGCAAAACCTGAAGGACTCCAGAGTCCCTAGCCTGTAAGTACGTGAGCAGGCGTGGAGACTGGCTCACTTTCCAGCTCCACCTCTTCCATGTTTTTGCTTTTACTAACCTCTGTTTAGCTCTACTACTGAAGAAAAAGATTTATCCATTTTTTTTAAACAGCAATAACATAATAATAAACAAAAAGAGTATAAAAATAACTCATTTTCTAAACAAGTATGTTCATGGAAACTTATTAGTATCCAAATATGTTTCTAAAGCTAATACAATAACATCTTCTAGAAAAAATGCACAATAACATGCTGTGATTGATGAACATGGCACACCAAGTAAGATTTCATACAGTATGTCAGTTTGGGAAATACTTCACTAAAGAACATGCTCTAATTAGATCAACAGATGAGGCAAATCTGCTGTGCTCTCTCGGGGTCCTTCAGAAGCGAGTGGGTCAAAGGATGCTCGCAGTGCCCAGACCAGACCCACAAATGGAGCCACTTACTCCAGGAGAAAGTTTTCCCTAGCAGGTGGAAGTTAGTGGCTGATTTACCTCTTTCAGAAGTTAGTTGAAATGGTGAACGCAACTTACCAACTGTAGGGGTGTTTGCTGCACTGAGGGAAGCGGAGGAAGATATTGAGGAGATGCTCTCTGCTCGTGCCAAGGGAACCACAGGTAGTGGACTGGAGTTAGAGGTCAGGGGAGGGCTGAACGGCCTGGGCTTAATACAAGAGATCACAAGAGTATTAGGTAGGCAGAAAGCGATTTTAAAAGGATGAAAAAAAAGAATGAAAATTTATAGAAGACTTCATTTAATTCCCCATTCAACACCACAGCATTTTTGTAGTTTTATTTCTTCTAGTGCTTTATCTAACCCAGTTTTGAGTGTAAAACAGGGAACACACATCTGCTCTGGAAAACAGTGCCAAGATTTCACAGACCATACTGTTTCTCAAGGCCAGCACACCTGATTCTGTGCCAGTCTGTCAGTGGCTGCGCTAGCTGAATGTGCAGCCCCACACGCCAAGGGCATCTGTGAGGAGTTGGGGATCCCCGAGAGCCCGGCAGGGAGGTGGGTGCAGCGCAGCGCTGGGCGCTGCCCCAGCACCACCACAGCCTGCCTGACGCACGGGGAGTGCAGCCCATGAGAGAGGCTGCGGTGGGATCCCTCTGTGCACTGCCGCGAACAGCCTATCTGCAATGGAGTTGTAACAGAGAATCGAAATCAGTATGTACTGGTTCAGTAACGGAAACTAATACATACTATTTCAGTAACAGAAATCAATACATACTGTTTCAGTAGTGGAAATCAATACATACTATTTCAGTAATGCCACTAAGTTTTGCTGTAGCCAACTTTGGTCTCGAAGCAGGCCTTGGAAGGGGTACAATTGTGCCTATGGAAAGAGGAGTTGTGGGCCTTGCTGCAAGAAAGCAAATTTAAGAAAATCAACATTAGAAAAGTCACACTGAACAAATATATACTTACTGGAACAGAATCATTGGAAGTTGTGCTTCTGTTAAAGCTCCTATTTTACAAGCTCTGTTTTGTAAGATTCACCACTAAATCAAAATTATTCTTAAAATGGGGCCCTATGATACCCTGAAAAGTGACTCTAAAAGTGACATCATGGGCATTCTCGTTGCTCAATTTTGTATGAACTATCCTCAGAGGTTTGTGTGTTAAAAAACGGTTTTACTTCAGCTCCCTTTTCTGTATAATCTGTGTGGATTCTGAATGTGAGACAGTCTTTCATGTCTCACAATAAATGGAAAATTCAGAGGACTATATTTGGTCCTGGCTGACAAGGCAACACTGTTTACTTGAAATTATGCCCATGAAAATCTTGTTGCCTTCAATAGGTAGGCACCAATGTAATGGAAAAAAATTAAGAAATGATTCTGCTGATTATGAGAACACAACAACTCCTCATTACCTCCTAGCCAAGCTATCAGAGGTTGGAAAATGAAGAAAACGCTGCACCTCTGCCTTTCCCAACCTAGCAAAAGCAACGGACAGATGGCGAGGCGAGCAGCGGCACGATGGCACTTTTACATGGTCGCTTTTCTGATTAGAAATGTACGTCAAAATACCTGTTACATGCCATCCGACGAGTATGTCAAATATACAGTTAACTCCAGAAGAGGCTTAAACCCTACTATGTGATGACAGTCATAGCACTATCAAGTACAGCACCGTCACAGCCATTCAGCCTCTCGCTGAAGGGAGTTTCGTCACTGACTTGGGAAGAAATAAGTTTGGCCAGTCCTGAACACATCCCACTGTAGAGTTGCAAATGTTAATGCCAGAAGTAAATCCAGTTCTGAGGTATCAGCCATCCCTTTAAAATCTGTCTTGTTATGCCCTAGGCAGAGGGTGCAGGCTCAGCACCAGCTGCTGCAGGGTCCCAGCTGCAGAGCAGGAATTGTGGAGAACTTGCCAAAAGCAATTTTAAATTTTTTGCTTTATTAGCATGTGGCATTACTGTAGTATCAACCACATTTCAAAATACTAAATGATAAAAGGCACAGTTTTTAATCCAAATTATTTCATTGTATTTAATCTAAAAATATCTATACATTCTTATAAAGCCATTTAAGAATGCAACTATTTTTACTTATTCAATCATTTAATCCTTGAGATCTCACTGCTCTGACATCCCACAAAAATGTATTTTATTTCTAGAAAAGCCAAGCTCCACATTGTTAAGAAAAAGCAATGCCTTTAGCTGAGTAATTTGATTTTTCCTTCTTTCAAGCTAAGTACTTATTTCAATGCCTAACTTACAAGAAAGCCAATACTATAAGCAGTTTAGTGCAGTATATATGAAAAGATGAGTTAATTAACATCAGGTGAGCAACAAGAAAGAGAAAAATCAGCAAAGCTTGCTTTCCAGCGCGAGTGATCAGCAACAAGTGCACGCACTGCATGCTTGCCATACCCTTATGTGTGTGAGCACAAGAAGGCAATAAGCTATAGTCCAGCAGCGCTGGAGATGATGTGGAAGGAATTTCAGCAGCAGAGACAGTTTCTTCAATGAATAACTTTTCATTACATACAGCATTATTGAAAGGGTCACTTGGATCCTCAGAAGCAGAGCTGTTGGAAGGATTCCCAAGCAAAGCAGGAGAGGCAAGGCAGGCATTCCCAGCATTTAAATGCAACCTCTGGGGCTCCTTTGTGTCTGTGCTTGCGTGTCTAACTGTGAGAAGTTCCTCAGCAAAAGAGATCCACCGGCTGCGGCGCGGAGGAGCAGGTGCCCCTGGTGCCCGCGAGCAGCTCTGTCAGGCAGGAGCTCCCAGACCCGGCCTCCGGCTGGTGTCTGCGCAGAGCCGGAGCGCCGGGCACGCTGAGGGCAGGGCAGCAGGCACTCACGTCCTGCTCTTTCAGTGTAGCTGCAGGAAGGGGGAAGAAGTTGAAACCAGGCGCAGTGCTGAAATGATGAATATGTCAGAAATACCTACTGCAGGATGCCCACTAGCCATCAAGAAAACTAACTGCACTGTTAGGCTGAAACCACACCACTTGAAAGAAAAATATCCGGGCACATATCATGCATATTGCAATCACACTGTCAACTGTGACACTTTCCATTTCTTAAGTCAAAAAATCACTTACTCTATTTCTTCCCTTAAAGCCCTAACCTCCTTTGCTTATTCCTTTAACTTCTTTCTTAGCATGAAGCAAAGAAGCAAACTTCTTTGTAGAGTTTTCTCTTTTTCTTCTCCTGTCCTATTTCATTTGGGCTTCTTCTCCATAGATTCCTGCTTTTCATTTCTTTCAAAATCATTTAATCAAACCTACTCTCCTCTGTTCCTTCTGAACATTTTTATCCTCTTACCCTTAATATTTAGTAATGGAAAGATCAACTTTCCACCAAATCACAGGGGGCAATGCAGTGCTGAGATCCTGTTTGAGATTTCCATTGTCTCTATCACCATGAATCTAGTGGAGTGACTATGTAGTTGATGCACCATTTGCCTCCGTTTATGTTCTCTCTCATCCCCAGATCTCTGGGCTGGTGTTTCCTATGGGTTTTCCCTGCCTTTGCCTGCTTGTTGCAGAAGATGACAAGAGAAGCAGGGAACACGAGGTTAGGCAACTTTCCACATCCTGCAGTTTGGCAAAGCTAGGAGCAATGGTGCTGTGGAGCAGCAAAGAGGATTCAAAAGGGAGCAACACTGACTTTACAGGCCAGAGCAGGAGTGCAGGTGTCCTCCTTTGACATGAACAAGGAGGTTCACTAAGCCTCAAAACGAGAGATTTGACACTGCTTTCCCTTATTAACAGATAATTTAAATATTATTCCAAAGGCCTGCACTGCTACAGATCCAAAACAGGAGCAATGTGAAAATGTCCAATGTCCAAATGTCCACTGTATTTTAAAATACCTGAAAGCACACTGAAAAAAATGAGAGGGGGGGAGCATGCTTACAATATCAATAGCCAGCTAAAATTTTCTGTTGTGTTTGTTCAAGATAATAAAGTTAGCTGAAGGTTCTAATAAGGCAGGATTATTCACGGATGACCAAAGTTTACTTCTATTTTCCATAAAAAACTCGCTCAAATACCACAGCAGTTTGTGTGCTCAGTGATTAATGCAGAATTACAAAACGATATCTGAAGAAATGCATTAGCCAACAGTGAAAAGAAAGAGAGTAGCTATGGGATATGTTAAACTATGACATATATATTCTGTATCAAGTTGTTTATTATTTGTATAAACAACTTGTTTTGGGTTGACTTTTGAAAAAGCTTTAAGCAGTTTACCTGTATTCACCTTTGTGCTGAAGATAAAACCTGGATTTCAAGAAAAATAGCATCAGATCAGAGCTCAGTATTTTTAAAAGTCTTCAGAACTGAGCTGGAGATTATTGAGCATCAGAAGCTAACCTGATTTAAACAACCCTGTGAACTACTAATTTAGTAAATAATTTTCCAAAATACATGCTATTCATTTCCAGACCTTAGAACACTCACTTTCTACTCAACTCCATGGATGATTTTACAAATGCAGATGGCTTGGTTAAGTCCCAGAACAACAATTTTTACTATTTAACTATTTTTTATAAAAAATATTTTTACACTTTCATTGAAATATGAAATTCTGTGCATACGAGTGACCTCTAGCTCTCAGGCACAGGCCATGACTTGATCTGACTGCAGAGCATGTCACTGGCCCTAATTACCTGTCGCTGCTGATCAGCTGGAGGCTGATCTCTCCACAGCTCTCCTGACAGAGGGGCCTGCATGAGTATTTCCTCATCTGCTTTCTTTTTTTCCCCAACATATTCATAGAATCATAGAATGCTTAAGGTTGGAAGGGACCTCTAGAGGTCATCTAGTCCAACCCCCCTGCACACGCAGGGTCAACTAGAGCATGTGGCACAGGACTGCGTCCAAGCGGGTTTTGAAGATCTCCAGAGAAGGAGACTCCACAACCTCTCTGGGCGGCCTGGTCCAGGGCTCTGTCCCCCTCACTGTTAAAAAATAAACAAATAAATAAATAAATAAATAAATAAATTCCTTAAGTTCCTGTGGAACTTTTGGTGCTTCAGTTTGTGGCCATTACCTCTAGTTCTGTCAGTGGCCACCACTGAAAAGAGGCCAGCCCC